TGCACTCTCCTCCTGCCCAGCCCCATCTTTACCGCGGTGCAAGTGCCCTCACCCCTAATTTACAGTGGCTCCACACTCACAACAAACAGTGCCTGGAGCCGTGAAGGGCCCGGGTATGGCAAAGAGCTACTGGCATAACATCAGCTATCCTCACCAGACGATACACACTACATTACTGTGAGTTTTATTGCTGTGGAGCTCTGTGATACCCTTATACACACTGCACATTACTGTGAGCTTTATTGCTGTGGAGCTCTGTGATACACTCATACACACTGCACATTACTGTGAGTTTTATAGCTGTGGAGCTCTGTGATACACTCATACACACTGCACATTACTGTGAGTTTTATTGCTGTGGAGCTCTGTGATACCCTTATACACACTGCACATTACTGTGAGCTTTATTGCTGTGGAGCTCTGTGATACACTCATACACACTGCACATTACTGTGAGTTTTATAGCTGTGGAGCTCTGTGATACACTCACACACTGCACATTACTGTGAGTTTTATTGCTGTGGAGCTCTGTGATACACTCACACACACTGCACATTACTGGGAGTTTTATGACTGTGGAGCTCTGTGATACACTCATACACACTGCACATTATTGGGAGTTTTATTACTGTGAAGCTCTGTGATACTCATACACACTGCACATTACTGTGAGTTTTATGACTGTGGAGCTCTGTGATACACTCATACATACTGCACATTACTGTGAGTTTTATTACTGTGGAGCTCTGTGATACACTCATACACACTGCACATTACTGCGAGTTTTATCGCTGTGGAGCTCTGTGATACACTCATCCACTGCACATTACTGGGGAGCTCTGTGATACACTCATACACTGAGCTTTATTGCTGTGGAGTGCTGTGATACACTCATACACTGCACATTACTGTGAGTTCTATAGCTGTGGATCTCTGTGATACCCTCATACACACTGCACATTACTGGGAGTTTTATTGCTGTGGAGCTCTGTTAAACACTCATACACACTGAACATTACTGTGAGTTTTAGTGCTGTGGAGCTCTGTGATACCCTCATACACACTGCACATTACTGTGAGTTTTATTACTGTGGAGCTCTGTGATACCCTCACACACTGCGCATTACTGGGCATTTTATTACTGTGGAGCTCTGTGATACACTCATACACACTGCACATTACTGGGAGTTTTATGACTGTGGAGCTCTGTGATGCACTCATACACACTGCACATTATTGGGAGTTTTATTACTGTGAAGCTCTGTGATACACTCATACACACTGCACATTACTGCAAGTTTTATCGCTGTGGAGCTCTGTGATACCCTCATACACTGCACATTACTGGGGAGCTCTGTGATACACTCATACACTGAGCTTTATTGCTGTGGAGCGCTGTGATACACTCATACACTGCACATTACTGTGAGTTACATATAGTTACATAGCTGAAAAGAGACTTCCGTCCATCAAGTTCAGCCTTCCTCACATTTGTTTTTTGCTGTTGATCCAAAATAAGGCAAAAAAACCCAGTTTGAAGCACAATTTTGCAACAAGCTAGGAAAAAAATTCCTTCTTGACCCCAGAATGGCAGTCAGATTTATCCTTGGATCAAGCAGTTATTACCCTACATTGAAAGATTATATCCTTGAATATTCTGTTTTTGCAAGTATGCATCTAGTAGCCGTTTGAACATCTGTATGGACTCTGATAAAAGCACTTCTACAGGCAGAGATTTCCACATCCTGATTGTTCTTACAGTAAAAAAAACCTTTCCTTTGCCTTAGACGAAATCTTCTTTCTTCCAGTCTAAACGCATGACCTCGTGTCCTATGTAAAGTCCAGGTGTGAATAGATTTCCACACAATGGTTTGTATTGGCCCCGAATATATTTGTATAATGTTATCATATCCCCTCACAGGTGACGTTTTTCTAAACTAAATAGGTTTAAATTTGTTAACCTTTCTTCATAGCCGATATGTTCCATTCCTTTTATTAGCTTTGTAGCCCGCCTCTGCACTTTTTCTAGTGCCATAATATCCTTCTTTAGAACAGGTGCCCAAAATTGCACAGCATATTCAATATGGGGTCTTACCAGTGATATCTAAAGAGGCAAAATTATATTCTTGTCCCGAGAATGAATGCCATTTTTCATGCATGACAATACCTTACTGGCCTTGGCCACTGCTGATTGACATTGCACATTGTTGCATAGTTTGTTGTCGATAACAATTCCCAAGTCCTTTTCATGTGTTGTTATCCCTAATTCACTTCCATTAAGGGTATACGTTGCTTGTGTATTCTTTACGCCGAAGTGCATAACTTTGCATTTTTCAACATTAAATTTCATCTGCCATTTGAGTGCCCAGTCCCCGAGTCTATCTAAATCCCTCTGCAGCAAAGTAATATCTTGCTCACATTGTATTATTTTACAAAGTTTGGTGTCATCTGCAAACACTGAAACATGACTTTCAATGTGGTCTTCAAGATCATTTATAAACATGTTAAATAGAAGGGGTCCCAGAACAGACCCCTGAGGGACACCACTTACCACCTCTGTCCAGCTTGAAAATTTACCATTAATGACAACTCTTTGTACTCTGTTTTTAAGCCAATGTTCTACCCAAGAACAAGAATTTTCATCTAGACCGATTTCCTTGAGTTTGAACACTAATCTATTGTGTGGAACTGTATCAAATGCCTTGGCAAAATTCAAATAGATCACATCCACTGCAACACCCTGATCTATGCTTCTACTTACTTCTTTGTAGAACGCAATCAAGTTAGTTTGACATGACCTGTGCTTCATAAAACCGTGCAGATTTTTGCTGATAACCATGTTCTTCTCAAGGAATTCTTGAATATTATCCCTTAATAACCTTTCAAATATTTTACCAGCCACAGAAGTTAAGCTCACAGGTCTATAATTTCCAGGCAAGGATTTTGAACCCTTTTTGAATATAGGAACCACATCTGCCTTCCTCCAATCCTCCGGAACACTTCCTGAAAGAAAAGAATCTTGAAAGATTAAAAACAGAGGTTCACTTATTTCTGCACTTAGTTCCTTAAGTACATGTGGATGGATACCATCAGGCCCTGGAGCTTTGTTTATATTAACTTTCTTTAGTTGCTGCAGCACCTTGTCTTGAGTTAACCAATTACAATTATTCTGCATGTTTTTAGTAGCAATCATTTGCACATCTATTGCCAATCATTTGCACTCTCACACTGCACATTACTGGGAGTTTTATAGCTGTGGAGCTCTGTTATACACTCATACACACTGCACATTACTGGGAGTTTTATTGTTGTGGAGCTCTGTGATACCCTCATACACACTGCACATTACTGTGAGTTTTAGTGCCTTGGAGCTCTGTGATACCCTCATACACAGTGCACATTACTGGAAGTTTTTCGCCGTGGAGCTCTGTTAAACACTCATACACACTGCACATTACTGGGAGTTTTATCGCTGTGGAGCTCTGTGATACACACATTGTAGCAGAGAGCTGATTTCTTACAGCTTAACTCCACCAAGTACTTTAAGAGGATGCAGGAACAAGTAATAAATCCAAGAGAATATCCAGCACAATCAGCAATACAATACAATAATATCCCATCACTTTCCCCAATCACTGGACGACACACAGTATCAGGAGTAGAACTAACTTTTAATGGCAACATTCCTGCTTTTATGAGATTCTCCCATGCAAGGGAGGGATTCACCACAATTAGTATATTATCCAATGCCAGTGACGTTACCTCCCACACATCTCCTCCCCTTAGATTAGCCTTTAATACAATTATACACAGCACATTTTTCCCCACTTTTCAGATGTACCCCAAATAGGTGGAATATGCCCTTAAATACCCCCTGGTAGCCCTGATCTGGGTGAGACACATATCCAAAAATCACCCAGATCAGACCAGGGGTTCGGGAGTTATGGGAAGGTAAAGTTTTGACCGACCGCATGGGCAAAGTAGCCGAAAATAGTTCCATGAAATCTGGCCCTGCGGCCGGTCTCCATTTGTGCCCAAAAAGTCCCGAATTGCTCTAGCATCCATAGTGCATTCGGTAACCGGATGAATCCCCTAGTTCGTGGGATTCATCCTACCGAACGCCAGGCCGTTCGTGCGTTTCCATCCGTGCCTTCTGAAGCCCTGGAGGTCTTAGCGGTGTTCGGCTAGTCGAGTGTCCGTTTTCAGTTTCAGACACTCGACGACCAAACACCGCTGTTCGCGGATTTAAGATGGCGGCCACCACATGTTCGGCTGCCGAAATGGTGGCGGGTTTGTGCGTACAAGGGAATGAAATGCAAGCAGGGAGGTAAATTAGATCCATTATACACATCAGGGTGGTCCGGTTCATTCGGTACTTTGTTCGTATAGTGGATTGTAGTTGTTCACATGTCAGCTGTTATTCCCATACCGAATAAAGTAGTACCATACCTAGTCACTTAGAGTTTTGTGTACTCCAGGCACAGGGAAATCTCAGCAGGGCCAACAATCAATAAAAGGAATAGGACAGCCAAAAAGGGGTTCCGCTAAACACATGCACACTGCACATTACTGCGAGTTTTAGTGCCGTGGAGCTCTGTGATACCCTCATACACACTGCACATTACTGTGAGCTTTATTGCTGTGGAGCTCTGTGATAAACTCTCACACTGCACATTATTGGGAGTTTTAGCACTGTGGAGCTCTGTCATACACTTGTACACATTGCACATTACTGTGAGTTTTATTGCTGTGGAGCTCTGTTAAACACTCATACACACTGCACATTACTGGGAGTTTTATCGCTGTGGAGCTCTGTGATACACTCATACACTGCACATTACTGTGAGCTTTATTGCTGTGGAGCTCTGTCATACACTCATACACACTGCACATTAATGGGAGTTTTATCGCTGTGGAGCTCTGTGATACACTCATACACTGCACATAGCATTAATGTTACTGTGCTCTCCGTCATTCATGGTGATCTCTCTCTGTTTCAGTTGGTGGATCCCAGCCTTCCTGATTACATGATGTTCCAGCCAGACTTACAAACAAGCATCTTAAAAAAGCGTCTGTCTGGCCAACCTGCTCATCTGATCAAGAAAGTTCAAGCCATAAATTCAGACTATTCTAACCCAGATTACCATAAGGGTCACTTGAACCCAAACGCAGATCACCCTCCTGGGCCAGGACAAGAAGCCACTTACACCCTCGCCAACGTGGCTCCCATGTATGGGAGCCTGAACTGTGGAAAATGGAGGGCAAATGAAGAGCAAGTGAGGAAGATATCCGAACAGTGTGTAACAATGTATGTAGTTACTGGAGCGGTGCCCGGAGATAATTGGATTTTAGATAAAGACAAAGAAAAAAGGGTTAACATTCCCAGCCACATCTGGAGCGCGTTCTGCTGTCTAGACAACAACAAACGGCCAATCAGAGCAGAGGGATCCCTGGTACCAAATAATGCCAGCAGCGTTCAGACGGGGCTCAGTATTTCCAACCTGACGAGTCAGCTCAGTTCTCTGCTTAAAGTCAACGTTACCTTGTTTAATAATAACTGCTCATAGGATGTGTGAGACTCTGTGTAATAAATGAGGTGGTGGCATGCACCAAGCATCATCCATGGTGTTACTGTTTATTATTTACATACACAGATACACACATTCCTAGCTCACACACACAGCAAAGCAGAGTCAGAAATTGAATTTCATAGCATGACAGGAGGCTTCATATTTGCTTAAAGGACCACTATAGTGCCAGAAAAACAAACTCGTCCCCTCCACCCTCCTCAGGGTCCTACTCCTGCCAGGCTGAAGGGGAAGGAAGGAGTTAAATTCTTACCATTCTCCAGCGCCGGGCTCCCTCGGCGCTGGGGGGGGAAATCTCCTCCCTCTTCCGACGTCAGCACTAAATGTGCATGCATGCATTCAATTAGTCCATAGGAAAGCATTTCTCAATGCTTTCCTATGGACGGCAGCGTCTTCTCAATGTGATTTTCACAGTGAGAAGCACGGAAGCACCTCTGGCGGCTGTCAATGAGACAGCCACTAGAGGAAGGATTAACCATTCTCCTGGATTTTTCAGCTTGTTCTGCTATTTTTCGTGTGAGATTTAAAATACAGTGTGCAACGGCACCCCCAGGCATAAAAAGGGGTTAAAAGCCGTTTTGTAGATCTTCTCTTCCAGAGACACAGGCACAGCTACTGTAGACACCAATACACCGAACTGGAGAACCATATGAATGCTGTAAACAGCCGAATAGAAAAAAAACATACGAATAGGTTTACACTCCTAGCAGTCGAACTGGAACAGCATACAATAAATCCCCCCAAGAACGAGACAAGGCTCTGTTTTGAGGGTCAAGCAGGAACAGACAGAGCTGTGGGTTTATTGTTCTTATATACACATTAGTACCACCCACAGGGTTTTGGAAAACAACCAATAAACACGTACAATACACTCAGACACTCCCACACAAAATCCTCCCCTCTGCCTGTGATACAATTACCTTACACAATGGGTAATGTAATTATCACAGGCAGAGACATACAGTTTTTCCACATTATTCATAACTTTAAAAGTATGCATCACATTCACATTAAATACACAAGGTTACATTTATTACATAAAATACAGACATGCAACTTATCCCCAGATAGCTTAGGTCTGAGCGCACATTATTACTGAATGGCGCTCCGACCACACACATACAGTTCAATTGCCATGGAGCCAAAGTTTTTTATTACACGAATAGGCTCCATGGCATAGCTATCTAGGTTAAATGAATTCATTCAGTAAATCCGAGAATCTACCGAACGCCAGGACAGAAATACATGAATAGACTTTTCTGCATAGGAAATAAAGTATTTAAATGCCGGTCCATAGTCAAAAGGCAGCAGGCAGGCAACCAGGCTCCTCCAATGCACAGTGGCGAGACTGGTCTCGTCACACAGTGCAATAGCGGCGCCGGCCAGTAGGAGGGGGCAGAGACAGCCTATAGATCAAGGAAGTGAGGCATATGGGGGCAGAGACAGCCTACAGATCAGGGAAGTGAGGCATATGGGGGGGCAGAGACAGCCTAAAGATCAGGGAAGAAAGTCATATGGGGGGAGAAAGCCTACAGATCAGGGAAGTGAGGCAT